ACCTCATCATTTTTTCCTATTAAAATAATAGTCTTCTTAGGTAAGACAAAAACCAAACGTGTAACAAAAACAAAAAATAAAGACCAAACGCGTAACAAAAACAAACAGTAGGGACTTTCTGAGTTAAAAAAATAAGTTAGGAACCAAACGCGCAAATTATCCCAAACTATAGAGACCATTCTTGTAATTTACTCTAAGAATGATTTTGTCACATTTTATTCTCTCATTCAATTGGTTACATGTTATTTTGTCATAATTATGAGATATTTATTTTCCAATTGTCATTTACTTTATTTTTTATTTCCAATATATCATTAATTTAGTTTTTATAAATTAAATCTACCATAATGACTATTATTTTCAAATTTTAAATTTTAAATTTCAATTTCAATTTCAAATAAATTTACAGTTTAAACTTTTGTATTTAACATTTTGTTATAATTGATCCGTTTAGTACACGGGTCTGACAACTAAAAACATAATTTTAATTTATTTATTTTTTTTCATGTTTTTTTTTCTTATAATTTTCATTTATTTCAAAATTTCAAATTAAAATAAACATATTTAACATTTTGTTTTAATCAACCCATATAATATATAGGTGTCACAATTAGTATTATAAATAATAATTAGATAAATGCTTAGCTAGGACACGATAGTTACCATTGAGTAGCATTATCGAGTTTTGTAGCTAGGAACCCAACTACTAATAGAGAGTTTATGATATCTACAACCAAGACACATAAATGACAAACTTTTATTAGACTCAACAATTGTTTCACTTTCCAGCCTTTTAATCTTATAAACATAGTCGGTCAAAAATAAAATGATATAATTATTAAAAATAAAATGTGCATGTATGCATACATTAAGAGCCTTATCGTGGTTGATAATATAAACATATCACAAGTTCAATTCTATTAAGATTTAAGCCTAAAATTTCATAAAATCATCATAGTTGTTTTTTTTTTTTTTTAACTACCGAAAGATTTTTTTTTTCCTGATTTAACACGTAAGAGTTATTGTTTTTTTTAATAAAAGTCATTGTAAGAGTTTCTCGGTAACCAGTTGCAAAAAACCATAGGAAGAAAATAAATATTTTTCTGGTTAAATCGTACATAACTTTAGATAGCTAAACTGAACAAATATTATACTACAATTAATCAGAAAGTAGTTTTAAGCCGGAAAACAATTCAAAATTCTAAAGATTTTATGAAATTTGGCTTTTTATTAAAACAGAATCTAGCCTAATTTAATTATATATAATAATAGATTTATACCCCATTGATTTTATCGATCACAAAAACATATACCATGATTTCATAAAACAAATTAAAATCTCGTCTTACTTTTACAATTTCAAAGCACCCCGTCATCGTATTTGATAGCACCGTACCTAATTTATTTTCTAATCGACATATTAAATAATAATCGTACATCATACATGCATATATTTAATTATATCATGATAACCCTGTTTTGCTTTAATTATTTATATTCATATTAAATAATATCTTGATTCAATTATTATATTTACGATCAATGATGACCCAAATTTAGTAGTAGACCAACAAAATATCGACATTTTTATTTATATTTAATTAATTAATCTTGGCTTATTTAATTTTTTAACCGTCATGAGGATTCATTAATAAATCCTTCTTATGGCAGCATCGTTTTTAAGCCACTAAGTTATTTTAATCTAATTAATACGTTTATTATTTTTTTATCACCGACTTACTTTGGATGTGTAAACTTATTAATATTATTTACAATAAAATTGCTTGGCTGATATTGCTTTGGAATCAAAAAGTGTCATTTCCTTCAAAAGTAACCTCAACGTAATCTTTAATATTAATTAAAATTTTATTTTTATATTTACATTGATACAAGTTTGAGTAAGTTAAAAATGTAGTTTTTCTACATTTAATTTATTTAACATTTTATTTTTTGTATTTGTTTGGACGAATTTAAATATCCCAGACTTGATGTTTGAAGATACTATTCTACTATCTTCATAAAATATTGTATTTTTCTTCTTTGTTTTTTCGACAAGATCAGTTTTTACGTACCTAAACCTTACTTTTATTTTTAAAAATGATGATATAAACAATTACACATTTACTATTTAGCAAATATGTTTATCAAACTATGAACCAAAACACAAGTTGCACTTTTTAATTATTGAAGCATACAACAAAAAGCTATAAGATCTAGTGACTAAAGTTAAAAGAAAAAAGAAAAAAGAAAAACACTATATCCTTTTTTAAAAGAAATAGCTCTAAAACCATTTATAAAACATGCCAAACCTTTTCGGTGGCCTAGTAAATATTTGCATAACCGACCTTTAGCTTTCTATGTAGTGAAACTTAGCCCTTGTACTCTATAATAGTTGACTTTAAGTCTAATATTTTGAGAAACTTTGGAAAAAGGGTATTAATGATGTTACATTATTAAACAAAACAATACACTTACAATCAAATAAAAAACCCTAACAAACCATTAGCAATTTACCCATGTGTTAAATCGATAGAATTTTCATATTAATATATTTTGTTTAATTTAATATACCATTACATTAAAAAGAGAATAACCTTATTTTCAACTAAAAAAATATATTTTTTTGATTAATTAATTATCAATCCTTACTACAAGAGGGCAAAACATTGTTACATGCGGTACAAATTGCTTATCATATTTTCAAGTTTTCACATGCTACTTGTATCCTCAATGTTTCGGTTATACTTGAAAGTTTAGAAACAAAGGGATTGTAGTTGGACATACTCATAACCTAGAGGATCTCCATGTAAAAATGGCGACTCGGAAAAGGTAGTTATCCAATATTCTTGAGTCTACGATAATGATATAGGGGCCCGGTACACCACATCACCGTCATCTACAATTATGCATATATATGATCCACCCACCCACCATTTCATGATCAAATACAAAAGGAAGTTTGTGGAGCATTTGTATAAACATAATCTGTTTGTGTAAATGCGCAAGTGACTTTGGAAAACTTTTCTAAGAAACAGGTGGAGTGGAAGTTACCTGTTTGTATAAATGCCCAAGTGACTTCTGTGTCCTTCCTGTGAGCTTAATTCTGAGTTACTTCCATTGAAGATTGTTCGTACGTTCAAGCAAAACTGGCGAAAAAACAAGGTGAGATTCTTGGTTAATTAATTTGTGTACGAAGCTTTACATGAGTATGGGATTTGAATGATTGGTGTTAATCATATATATCTTGTTTGTTTGATATATTTAAAGCATATATAGAGGTTTTCATGTTGATTTTCTTATTAATTTTGGATTCAAAAGAAACAAGGATTTTAGTTCATAATTAGATCATTGCCGAACTTGAAACTAATTAATGAGATTCAGGTATTCAGCTATGGTTAGCTTAGCTATCCATGGTTTCTAATGCTTCAAGTTATGTTATGGATTTTATGGTCCGGTTCAGGTAGATATGAAAAAACCGGTCCGTTTTTTTCAGCTCCATTTGGCTAATTGGGTAAAGATTGATAAAAAACCGGGTCAAACAGGTTGAAAGTAAGGGCAAATGTATTCAAATGTTTACAACCCACTTGTCTCATTCTCATATGTATTCAAATGTTTACAACCCACTTGTCTCTTGAACAATTTTGTTAATATTAAATAAAAAATTACTATATATAAAATTAAAATTTCTGACAAAAATGATTTTACTCAACCCACGTGACCCGTCCATTTTATCAAAAGGTTTTTAAGGACATATGTTTGGATATAAAGTGGTTTTATGTTTTGAAAGTTTTTATGGGTTAATATCATAAAATGACAATCCATATGTAGTATTCAATTTACTCCTTTGATCATAAATTTTTATCTATACTCAATAGGCAAATATACAATTTTGGGTTTTTATTACATCATTGAGGTGGATTTCAACCGTGTAAACTGATATTAAATCTTACGTGATATCCAATATGACATAATTTGTTCATTTATAGCTAGTGGTGAATCTAGAATAAAATAGGATGTGGTTCCCAATTAAGTGAAGTCGAAAAAACTAAAAGAGTCAACGATACATGTGACGAATCGGGTCGGGTCGAATCATTAAAAACTACTCTGCTTGACCTCTAAAACTGGATTTTTGTTAAAAAAATAATAATTTTGCAAGACTAAATCTTTTTTTTTATTAAAGAGTCCATTTGCAATAACTATTTCTTACAACCAACAATATGAGATGAGTTGTGTTGCTTTTCAAGTTTCATTATAACCATCCATCATCCATTTTATAACATCATGTAATTACATATCTTTCTTTTTATTTCTTATTTTATCTCTTATGTGGGATAAGTTTTAATAAATATTAACCATTTTTTTTTGTAAATTTAAATATAACCTCTTCACCATTTCTTTTATTTATTTGTCTTTTTTTATCTTGTCAAATAATATAAGGTAAGTCATTTTTTTCAAGATGTTTCTAAAATTTATTCAATATAATTACTATATAAAACTAAAAAAAATTAGGTGTGTCGTAGGACCTACCTTTTTATATGTAGCTACGCCCTTGATCTCGCTGACATAACGTCCACCTATCATTTTTTTTGAACAACTGAAAGATTAAATACTAAAAACTAGTAAGGAGCTACAAAATTACAAAACGTTTAAGTTATTTTATAAATGGACAAATTACCCGGTTGAAATCAGTGTAGCAACTAATATGTTGAAATCTAAGTATGTAATATATTTTATTATCCTGTTGAAAAATCCACTCTAATGATGTAACTAGAAATCAAAAGAAATTTATCGGCCTATTAAATATAATTAGACAATAAGGCTAAGAGGAGTGGTAACACTCATGACACCTTGCCAAGTAAGTTTTTTGATTGCCAACTCATTTTGGTCCATTTAACATCTAATTTTAGCATTTGGTAGGGAGTGGTAACACTCATAGCACTCCATTTCTTTTATTTTCTTTTTCGTTTTCTAATTTAATTTAATTAAAAATTCCATCCATATCCTTCTAAATTTTAAATATTACGTCAATATCCTTATAAATTTTAGAATTATGTATATGTCATTCTAAAAATATATTAGTTACATATATATCCAAATTCCTTTTTTAATTAAAATTAACCTAATATAATATTAAAAAACTTATCAAAATTCAAAATTATATAAGATGTTACTAAAATACCCTTCCCAAATGAAACTTTAAATTTATATTTGAATTAGTTATGTTGACATATGACCAAAAAATCATATATGATGTTTCTAAGGCATCCAGGTTTATATGATTAACATCATATATCAACGTCTAAATATGCATCCAGGAATTGATTATTTTAGAAACTTCCAAACAGATCCAAAGCTTTTTCCTCTTTTTTCATCCTTTGTGTATCATGCATTTCTTTCTTGAGGGTAAAACTGTCCAAATCACCCAAAACTCCCAAAATCCACTTGAAGCATCCAACAACAGGGCCTTAAATTTGTCCTAACGTCACCAATGAAATTCATACTCCAAAAAGTGCATTTAGAGTCTCAATACAGCAGTATAACATTTGTGAAGATTGAAGAGATAAAACAGTCGCACTGAGCAACAAGGGCAAAATAGTCAATATTTTATAATATTTTAGGATCACTTCAATTAATTGTACCATGTGGTTATGACTGAACAGGGGCGCAACCACCACGAGCACTTTACTAGTTATTCCTAGAAGATGATCTACCCTTGAGAGCAGAAAGCATCAGAACAGCAAAAAACGGGTGTAATGAGGTTGAAATCTTCGAGCAACTTGCGTGCACTCCAATTTATGAGAACAAAGGAATACAAATTTACATACTTGTATTAAGCCAATATACCCTTCTATTAAAGCAAAGCAGACCAAGCAACTAAATATGGTTCAGGACTTTCGTCGAGCAACTTGCGTGCACTCCAAAAAACCCAACTCTTTGAATACAAATTGACTAAATGATTCCTATGTTTTGGATCATTCTCCAATCCGATTTTGATCAGGTAGGTCTCATAACATGATTTAATCGGAATAATTTAAGCAAAAAAAATCCTTCAAGAGAACAATCGATTGTAGTAACAATTGCAGATGTGAGATACGAACGAGTGACAATAGGCATCTGTTTGTACCAATCCTCTTTAACCCTGATTTCTTCAAGAAAAAATAAATCAATTAACCAAAATTTCAACAGCTTCAAATCTCAAAAATCAGCAATTTGGTGTAGATAAGAACTTGAGGCAATCTGGATTTATAAATTGCAACGGGCGTAATGTCGATTTTTTGTGATTGCGTCTATAATTCTACAAGATAGGGGAATGTTATCAGGAAGAAAAGCATATGCGGATCGGAGTGAAAGTGATGAACAGATTTGACGGACCAATCACATTCGTTTTGCACCTTCTCTCTCTTCTCGCCAGCACAGCGACGAGTCTCCGGTGGCGAGCCCCCTAGCGAGCACTAGGGGGCGGTGTTCTCTTTGTGTTAGCGAGCGTAGCGACCCCACTCCGTTCAGCCTAAGTAACCCAAAAAGCAAATTGAATATTTAATTATTATTTGTCATTTTATGATTGTAACACTTACTAATTGTTGGAGATCCAGAATTTCGAATATCTCAAAATTTTGATGCCAAACCCATATCCAAAAATTTGATGCCAAACCCATATCCAAAATTTTGAGAGTGAAATTTCAACAGATAACATTTTGTCATTTTGTCTTTACATAACCTAATCCAATTATTGGTTTTATATAATTGGCATCATTTTATAAATCAACAAACTTGCACCATTATGATACCAGGTCTGGTACCATATTTTTCGTTACTTTTTATCTGTCACTTCAGTGACACGTCAGCCAGTGAATTATTGGAGATTACAAATTTACAATCCACCGCATTGGCTTCATTTTGCGGTGAAAGAATCAAGGGTTTAGTGTTCACCGTAGCCACATAAGCCAGACAACCATGCCTCATAGCCATTTTAGGGATTACAATTTACAATCTAATCCAACAAATTTGAACCAATCATCATTGTAAACTCGAAATACATATAAAGAAAGAAAAAAAATACAAATATACAATTATTTAATATGTTGTGTAAATAATTACGAAATATATAATTGGGATAATATGGATTTATGATATTTAAAAAAAAAAAACATAGTTATGGAGGTTGGGCCGTTTAGTGGACCATAGCATGCACGAGGACATATTTGATTAGGTCGATAGATGTCGACAGATCACTATTTACCTGTTATTTTGTTTTCTTTTAAATCCATGGTCTAAAACCTCCCTTCCATGAAAGTGACTCTTTTGATGTCAACACAGCCTTTCAAATTGATCACGAGTCCTCTTAATAATTCATCACCATTGATTCACTGCACCCCTTTGCAATAATTTGTGGCATATATATACTACATAAGTTCTGGTATCATCATATCATTTCTTTACACAACTCTTGTTAAAATATCCAAAATGAAAAAATCCCACTTTGAGTTCAAAATATTCGGAACATGTCAAAAAATAACTGATGGTATACAGCCTGGTAAGTCAGATTTCATCAATTCTGTTTGTTTCAACTTAACCTAAGCATACACTTGCTATTTTAATATTGAGTAGTTGTAAAAAGCTTTTGTTTTCTTTTGATGATTCATGTTCAATATAATAATGTTGTGGGGATCGATGGTTTTCTTTTGTAGAAAAAATGGTTCAATTTTCTTCGTTTTTGAATGGAATAACGAGAAATATTACAACAAAAAACGTGAAGAAACGGAGGATTAATTTTGGAAGAGAAGCTACTAATGCTTTAGCCAAGGAAGCAAGAAAAAATGGTTTATTATTGACTTCTCCCGGTAGCGTTTGTGCAAATGGATCGAGTAATTATGTGTCCGCTTATTCTAAGGGCGGGAATAAGGGAATCAATCAAGATTCCTTCATCGTGTGGGAGGTAAATCTCTCTCTAATTAAAATTTTGGTGAGCGTGGGTGTAATTCGGGGTTGGTGTTTAAGAGAAAAATGTGTTCATTGTGATAATTTATCATATATTGACTTTTTCTTTTAGGTCGTCTTATGTTTTTAGAGTTTTCCATGTATATGCTTGTGTTCTTATTTATCTATTAATTTGCAGTCGTTTGGAGGGAAGGAAGGCGTGATGTTTTGTGGTGTTTTTGACGGGCATGGTCCGTGGGGGCATCTTGTTGGAAAACGAGTGAAGAAAGTAATGCCGGCTTATTTGCTTCACTTTTGGCAAGAAGCTTGTGCTCAATATTCGGTGGATTCGTTAAAAAATTCAAATTTTGATCAATTTGGTATGTGGAAGAAATCTTTCATGAAAACTTGCTCGACTGTTGATTATGATCTTGAGCTTCATCCAGTGATCGATTCGTTTTTTAGTGGTGCTGCTGCCGTGACTATAATCCGAGAGGTACACATTCTTAAAATTTAGTAATTCCCATTTTCCAAAATACCATTTATCGATTGGTTTAATCACTTCAAAAATAGTTACGTGATCAAATGGATTAAATGGTGAAAGTACAAGTGTTTTTCTTTATTTATCCGAAATCCATACGATTAAATCGGATAAGAATGACGTTAAAAGTCAAACTATATGTTTTTCTTTTGAAATGAAGAGAATAAACTCTTATTTTTCCATGATTATGATTCTCAGGGGGATCTTCTTGTGTTAGCAAATGTTGGTGATTGTCGAGCGGTTCTTGGAACAACTCAAGACGATGGTAGCTTGGTTGCCGTTCAACTAACTGTAGACTTTAAACCAAATTTACCTCGTAAGCACATATCTCTCTTCATATTTTGTGTGAAACAACATACTTTCATTGATTTTTTTATTATAACTTCTTACTTTCTTTTCTTCCCATTACAACATTATATTTTGAAAATCTACCGATCATAACAATACCATCTAAACACAAAGAAACTTTCACTGTTATAACATGGTGGATTTTTCAAAATACAACGCCTTCATAAGAAGAAAAAGAAAGTACAATGCTATACTTGGTTACATTTCTTAAAGTACATCACCGTAATAAGAACAAAAAATAAGTACAATGCTGCATTTATGTTTATTTTCAAGAATACAATGTGTTAATAAATTTGAAACTACAATGTTGTAATAGAAAGAAATGAAAGTAGGAGGCTATAATAAAAAAACAAATGAAAGTACACTTCTATCTCTTGCATTTAACCCATATATATATATATATATATATATATATATATATATATCTATATATATATATATATATATATATATATATATTGGCACTTATGTTCGATTCTTGTGTTGCTATTGTGTAGAGGAAAGTGAAAGGATATATAAGGCGGGAGGGAGTGTGTGTGAATCAGAGGATGAACCGGGAGTCTCGAGGATTCGTGCTTCAAATGACGAGACATCCGAAGGTCCAGGACTCGCGCTTTCAAGGGCTTTTGGTGACTATTTTGTTAAAGACTTTGGTCTTATTTCTGAGCCAGACGTGATACAAACAACAATAACCGCACGAGATCGCTTTGTCATTTTGGCGACCGATGGGGTACATTTTCGTAATTTTAACTTTTGCATTCATTTTCCAACACAAAACTTCATCTCGGATTTTAATTGGGCTAAATTGCATGAAATAGCAACCTACTTTTATTTAATTGTTTACTATAGCATCTCAATTTCATTTCTTCTAATTACAGCATTGTATTTTCTAATTAAGACATTGTACTTTTAAACTATACCAAATTAGGGCATTATACTTCCAAAATATTCTTATTAGGGCATTGTACTTTAAAAAAAAAGTACGTATGCTTTGTATATAGATGACATTGCTCTAACATTTTTAAAAGTAATAGGAAGAAATGAAAGTAGAATGCCATAACAAACAAATAAATGAAATTTAACCCATTTTAAGTAAAACCTTGAAACCAAACAAGGCCCTTTTCCTTTTTTTGACTTAATGGGTTAATGGAGAGAAGACTTGATGCAAAAAAGAACCATTTAATACACAAAAAGCCACAAAAAATGAGTCTTTCCCATTAAAGTTTAAAAACGACTTAATAAAGAAAGTCCTAATTGTTTTTTTTACAACTTTGCCATTGTTGATTTTTTTTTTCGTCATTTTCTCAAATATCTTTTATTCATATTCAGGTATGGGACGTTGTCTCAAACGAAAAGGCAGTTGAGATCGTTTCATCAGCATCAGAAAAGGATGAATCATCAAGAAGACTCGTTGATTACGCATCCAATCAATGGAAGAGGCAAAGACCAGGTTTTTGCACCGATGACATCTCAGCTGTGTGTCTGTTTTTCCACAATTCATCATCTTCTCAACAGAAAGAATCTGATTAGATAAAAACATTAATGTCGCATATATATGGTCAGCAAGTTCTTATTGCTGTTGTTTTTCAATTTAATAAAGTGTTTATTTAGCATCTTGGCTCAGTAACTGGAGCAAAAGGTATATATATATATATATATATATATATATATATATATATATATATATATATATATATATATATATATATATATAATGGTTTACTGACTTTCTTTTAAAATTTATAGTAGTAATATTGGAGATATGGTTTATTATTCTAATATCTATGTCGAACTTTTCTGATGTCTTACAACTGTTCATAGTTTATACATGAGTTTCATATTTGTTTTAATTAATTATTAGTATATATAGAAAAAACTGTGTTTGTTTTTATATGATCAATAGAATTGGCAAGTTATTGTTTTCAATAGTACAAATAATAGAAATGACACATAATGAGAAACAAATACTGAAGGGTTTCTTAAAATCAGAAGTGTATGTAATCACTGAATCTCGGCAATGAAATCTTTGTAGTCAAGGTTTTCAAAGCACTAAGGCTTATGCTTCTATAATGCTGAAGTGTGAGATCCAAATTCACAAACTGATCAGTGACCTAATACTGATCAAGACATCAAGTTCAAAGTCTCCTATAACTGTTGAACTGAAGACCCTGCAATCAGAACATATTTCGTCTTCAAAATTCTAAAACATCTCTTGTTCTTGAATCGTAATATACAACAATTCTTCGAAAAGAATAACATGCCGATAAATATGAATCATCTTGAAATAAAGTCTGAGTAATAAATAATCTGGATCCATGACAAATTTAATGATGAAATAAATTTGATCATTGATGACCAAAAACTAGTGTCACATCACAAAATTTTTTATTATATATTATATATATTTTTATTTAAAAATAAAAACTTATAATAACGAAAATGACCTTTTTTTTTTCTGACACGTTCTGAGTCTTTGAAGATATTTAATTTCTCAGGACCGGCCATGTGAACAACTATGTCGATAAGACACGACTGCTAATCCAAACCTATTGAGAATAGTCTGATAGTCCGGGTCTACAGTGTAGAGGAACTTTGGTCCGAAGACAACTGGTTGCTGGTTGAAAGACCTTGATTAAGGGGGCATCATCATGAAACAAATTAAAAAAATTCTTTCAATATAATCAGCAAGAAGGAAATCCAAAACATAAGATTAGAAGCTTGAATAATCTATTTTCATAAAAAAAGAGAAAAAATAAGCCATGTAGAAGATGTTCTTCGTGAAGGTGTTTTTGATCATTGGGGTGTGGGTGTGGGAAATGGGCGTTAAAAGTGGTGTTAATATAGATTAAATGGGTTTAAAATAAAAAAACAAAAGGTGTAAAAAATGATTAAATTAAGGTTGGATGACTCGATATATGAATATTCAACGAGCCAACTTTATGAATTTTTTTCCTCATGGAGGTCATTTTTTTATAAAAAAAAAATAAGAAAAACATCACGGATCACTATATATATAAGACCAAAATATGGCCATTTCACGAATAAATTTTTTTTTTAACCGGCGAATATATTTATAATAGACTAGTTATATAATATAATGGTTTTGTGATCATTTTTCTTTTAATAGGTATCTTAACAATAACTTTTGTCACATTTCCTCTTCTTGTAAGCTAGCTGTGAAACTAGGATTTCAATAGACATCGTTAACGTTGCACGCAATATCTGTTAAATATTTTATACTTTGGCTCTTATATTGTTAATCTAGGTTGTCTTATTCAATATTAGGTGTCATTCATATAGGGTGAACGATTTGTTGTCATTCTTCAAATAATATGTGTTAGTTTTTTGTTTTATACAATTATACTGTATTATATTCTTTTATATTATCAAAAACCATGCTTTTCATGATTTGAACCATGTATGGTAAATCGATACAAATAAATATTCAAAAGAATATATATATTTTCCTGTTTTAGATTTAATTCTGTAATAGAAAAGTTTATAATACATTATACATTGGCCAGACTAGACAAGGGCACTGCCTTTAACGTATTCAGTGAAAGCCAAAGCCACTAGACCCAACATCGCAAACCGCCCATTCCAAAGCTCTGCATCTGACGTCATCAGTCCACTCGACTTCGACTGCACACTCACTCCTTTAAACAACGGCACCAACGACGCTAACGTCAACACCACGCTAGTGCCGACAAACACCGCCACTCCGCCATTGCCGATCTGGGTAAACACGTCTTGACCGCTGCTCACTTCCATCGCCATCGCCGACACAAACCCGATCATCGCCAACCTTCCGTTGATCCTCTCCGGTGCAGGTCCGCTGAATGCCAATACGTCAGAGAACTTCGAGCTGACCTTCGGTGCAGGCGGTGGAGGAGGAGGAGTGGTCATATTTTGTGTGGTTGCTTGTTTGGAACTCTCGGTTTCACCACTTTGTGGTGTCTGTGCCATGCACCTGATGGAGAATGTGGGATTTCTCTTGAAAACTGTGATGGGGGCTACCATGAATATTGAAGAAGCAGCCATGTCGGAAAAATATATATGAAGTTTTGAGGGAGGAGAGAAGGTGGCAGTAGTACTGGTGGTGGTTGAAGTGGAGGATGAGGGTTTGAGGTGGTGGGTTTTATAGGGTTGGGGAGAACTGGTGAAGACAAAGGAGAGTGGATGCTTAAAGGGCCACGTTAAGAGACTTCACGTGGCTTTCGAAATGGCCGATGAGGGGTGGTTGTGGTTAAAAAGCCTCTACATCTACACTTATTTCACTAATCGTGTGTGGTGAGGTATGTCGACAAATTAAGGATTTTTGGGTGAACTTTTTTTGGGTCTTCCGTTACTAAGTTTCTGTCTGGGAAAATGCTGTCTGGTAAAGTGCTGTCTGGTAAAGTTTTTTTGACCAGAAAAGAAACCATGCTGTTTGATTGTACATCTGATTGACTGTGCTGAATGATAAAAAAAAGTAATAATTCAATAAAAATAAATTAAAAAAAAGTTATTTAAAAAAATTAATAATCCAATAAAGAAAGAAAGAGGCGGAGTTTGGTGTATAATTGTCTTTCCAGCCCATTCAGCCAGAAAGATATGATTTTGGGGCTTTCTGGGAAAGACATATCTTACCGGGAAAAACTCATTCTTTTGTGTAAATCAAACAGTCTTTCCGGTCCATTCAGCCAGAAATATCTGTTTGGACCTGAAAATATGCGTATCAAACGGGGGCTTAGTCGTATTTGACATAAACTCCTTTCTTGTTAGATGGGACACTTTACATACATCCCATGGACTAGAATCCAAAAAATTAGTGATAATACTATAATGTTACAAACGGTTTAGAAAACATTATCATGGGTATCTAATTGGTCTAATAATACGCCACTTTCCAATTAATTATAAAAGATTGTTTTATTACCTAAAAAGACCCCTTCCAAGTTCTTTAAAAAAACCGGTTTTTTAGTCGAACCGGTTTTGTGACTAGTTTTTTTTCAATCGGTTCAATCCAATTTCTATAAATTTATGTATTTATTATTTCTTATATTTATATATATAACCAAAAATTGACATCCATAAACATAAATCATTCTATAATGAACTTATATTATAAAATCATAAACATAACAACTGATAAGTATCGGTCTACAAGTTGTGAAGATCGGCCTCAGACCAGTGTCTAGTGTGCATCGCAGACGTGCCCAATAGTGTTGTGCGTCATCGGCTTTCGAGTTGTGTACATTTTAGATAATCTGATCGACCGAAATGTTTAATTTGCTTTGGAAATTTATTGTTTTTAACGGGCTGAGTGAAATCAAATTATCCAATTCCAATAAACCGTATTTATCATACCGATTCAACCTAGTGTTTGTAGAATATGTCTGGTTTGATCTGGTCTAAGAATTAACATAAACTTTCGTTATTGAACTGCTCCCATCTCCGGTCCCAGTCCTATTGGTCGATTCGAAACGGTTTCTTCAACATTGTTTCGATGTTGAATTTCCAAGATTCTTTGCATTTAACTTTTTCTTTTTTACAAACGAAACAATAGTGAAAAAAGTTGTAGTTTCTACAAATTATGTAAATGTAAAACTTAATCGACGCATGATTTTTTTTCCCTTGCTCGCATATCGTTGCAAAGTTTGGTATTTATTTCTCGGTTTTTGCATATCCTATAATTGATAGGTTTTCTATATACTTCCTAGTTTAATAACATGGCAGCGGAAACAAACAATTTTAATCTATGGCAAGCAAACTCTAAAACTTACAAGAATCTTAACTTCATGGATATGAGCAACTACAAGATGGATAAAATTTACTATATCCATCTTATAATAATCCTCTAAGGCTTACATGATAGGGATTCATAAAGCCTTGAACGTATATGGTACAAATCAGCTCTTAACACACCACTTGAACTACATACTATTTAGTATAAACAGACAAAGACTCTGCCCGTTGAGTCTGGAAACTCTATCAACTTTATCCTTTTCGTTTTTTTCACGATTTCCTCTAAATTCTACATAGCATCTTATATAACTTCAATTTCGATGGCATTGAAGTATTTATCACCATCTTCGGTACTTCCAAATCCGTAAGCAGTCACTTCTTCAATATAGTTGTATTAATAACTCTTGGATTTCTTCGATTCTCGTTTGTATATGACCACGCCAAAGTATATTATCCTACTAAATGTAGATGTACTTCAATGTACAATATCACTTCTGTGACATCTTCTAATTTTCAGAACCAATTAAAACTTTTCTTTGCGCTTTAAAAATCATTTATTTATATTTGCGGAAAATCCCATTACAAAAGATCATTTTGATTACAAATGTTTGTTTCCAAAATGTTAAAATCCTAAGGATGTCATAATCAATACATATACATAAGTTACATCGTAAATACCTGATGGTCCTGAATACTATTGAAGACTGTCTCTTAATCTTTAAGCATCATAATCAAGTTCCAGTAGCTTAAGTCTTGATACATGTGATGCATATAAACTGAGTGGGTCAGGTTGGGAAATCTAGTGAGATACATAGTGATTTCAATTTCACAATATTGATATGATAATATTCTTTAATTATCAGACATGCAAAATTAACCGTTACCATACTATATCCATATAGGCTTACATTCCTACATATCTATTCATATCGATCGTCACAGATCTAGGCCATGATTATCAGGGGAAATTACCTCGCCTGATGGACTGTTAAAAGATTGACTACACATCTAGGGGTTTCCTTGGCCTATGTAAGTCATAAAGAATATGCAGACATACCATTATAGACTATCTGATCATGACCTACCATTTCTGGTTATCCAAGAATATGCAGAGATACCATTACTGTTGTCTGATTAGGACCTACCATTTATGGTTATCCAAGAATATGCAAACATACCATTACAGTTGTTTGATCGGGACCCACTATATCTGGTCATCCCAAGGGGAATACTATATCATACTCTCGTATGGAGCTACCATATATCGACACCTGAAAGTGTCACGGAACATAACTTTACTCTCCGTTCCTAGGTTATGCAAATTCTTATAATGAGACTACCTTATATCAAACTTAATTGAACTAGGTACCTTCCACAAGTCTAATTTTATCCATAGACTAGATTAAAGTGCATGTATCCATCTTTTAATACCAACTCTATTTTTGGGTGACACTTGTTGGAAATTTAGTATAAATATTTATATTTTTTACTAACTTTGGACATATATAAATATATACATATGTTGTATATATAACGAACTCTAAGTGGGTTTGTGTTCTCCTCCATGAGGACTTCGAAACGATATATTATATGTCCAAAATAGAGTATAAGTGAATGAGATATCGATACTCAAAGATGGGTATTTGAGAATAAGTTTAGCAAAAGAGAGGAATGTGGGAATGAGTCCCACATTGGTAGAGAGACCAAACTCAACAAGGTTTATAAGCTTCATTCCATGGAAGGCTTACAAGCTTGTGTCTATGGTTATGCTACAATTCCTACCCGCGTGCAGGGGGTGCAAATCTTGGTTCCGTAGACCAAAAACACCGAACTCGTGCATGGGCGCGACCTGCGGACACGAATGCAGCTCCAAAAACTCGGGCGCGCGCTACCCTCGTTTTTGCTAAACTTGACAGTTTTGGTCCCTATTTTTGAATCCTGTAACAGATGCATTAATTATGTAATTAATGACATTTATTGCCATTAAACGCTCAATCAATTAGTGATTTGTTTCCGTTTCAAGATTCAACTATAAAAGAAGACCTTGGCCATCTCATTCAGACACACGGATGAAAATACTCTTCATCTTCCTCCTTCTCTGTACTCCTGCTTCCGGCGATTCTTTCAGGCAAGTCGTCATATCCGGCAGTACACAATACTGCTAAGGTTGTTGTACCCTGGGAACAGACGGCGAATCTGTTTAAGGGAATCGAGTCCAACTCGAGCCTCAGCCACATCGTTTGCTGCTAATCTTTTCATTACATGAACCATTTTTAAGAGGAAAACGAAGACCCTATACTAACAGTCTTAAACAGATTATTCTTTGTTATAACCATTTCGTTTTTCCTTTTCTTTTATTCTGAATCAATTTTGTATCGACCTTTTCCTGTAATCTATTTAACTGTGGTTACGATTCTTTCAGAATGTCTGGAACTCCCGCTGCTACTGGAACTCCTGCTGCTGGTGCTAACCCTCCTGTGAACCCAAATACAGCAGTTCCAAACATCATGGCTAATCATGCTGAGAGACCTGAAAAATTTTCTAGTATGAACTTCAAGAGGTGGCAACAGAAGATGCTGTTCTACTTGACCACCTTGAACCTGGCTCGATTCCTAACAGAAACTGCTCCTGTAGTTGCTGAGGGGCAGGCTGATGCTCAATCTGTGAATGCAGTGGATGCATGGAAGCATTCAGAATTTCTGTGCCGCAACTATGTGTTGAATGGCCTGGCTGATGCACTTTACAATGTTTATTGTAAAGTTGCAACTGCTAAAGAACTATGGGAATCTTTGGAAAGGAAGTATAAGACAGAAGATGTTGGAACTAAGAAGCATGTTGTTGCTAAGTTCTTGGAATACAAAATGGTTGACTCGAAATCTGTTATGAGTCAAGTCCAAGACCTTCAGGTCATCATACATGATAACAATGCAGAAGGGATGGATCTTAATGAATCATTCCAAGTTGCATCAATGGTTGAAAAGCTCCCTCCTGGTTGGATAGACTTCAAAAATTACCTTAATCATAAGCGAAAGGAGATGTCTGTGGAGGAACTGGTGGTGCGTCTTCACATTGAAGAAGACAATAGAATGGCCTTGAAGAAAGGCAGTGAAGGTGAATCTTCTAAGGTTCATATGGTGGAAGTTGGTCAAACTTCCAAAAGCAAAGGAAAGGGACCTCACAAAGGGAAAGCAAAGGGCAAAAACCTAGGCCCCAAGGCAGGAACTTTCAAGAAGAAGTTCAAGTGCTACAACTGTGGCCAACCAGGTCACAAGGCTTCGGAGTGCCCTCAACCTAAGAGGGAAAACCGTCAAGCA